ACCCCATCTGGTCCACCTGGGCCCTCTACAAAAAAGGTATCAACCAGGATAAAGTTTTGAATTTTGCAAGAAATATTAAGAAGTACCGTTTTAACTGCAGCCATATTGAAATCGATGACATGTACACGCAGGCCTATGGGGACTTTGACTTTGACCCCGTTAAGTTCCCCAACGTGACAGAGATGTTTGCAAAACTGAGAGAAGATGGGTTTAAGGTCACCCTGTGGACTCACCCTTTCATAAACTATAATTCCTCCAATTTTGGGGTGGGGATCGAGCGTCAGCTTTTCATCAAGGAGCCATCGGGGCAGCTGCCCGCCATGGGGGAAAAACAGCGGGGCCATCCTGGACTTCACCAACCCAGCAGCCCGGGACTGGTTCCAGAGCCACCTGCGCCAGCTCCAGCACAAGTACGGCATCTCGTCCTTCAAGTTTGATGCGGGTGAGACCAGCTACCTGCCCAAGCAGTTCAGCACCTTCCGCCCACTCTCAGACCCCAGCATCTGGTCACGGCGCTACACGGAGATGGCCATCCCCTTCTACGAGCTGGCCGAGGTGCGGGTGGGCTACCAGTCACAGAACATCTCCTGCTTCTTCCGCATTATTGACCGCGACTCCGTCTGGGGCTATGAGCTCGGCCTCAAGTCCCTTATCCCCACAGTGCTCACCATCAGCATGCTGGGGTACCCATTTGTGCTGCCAGATATGATTGGAGGAAATTTCCTCCCCAACAAGACAGACGGGGCAGTGGAGATCCCCAACCGGGAGCTGTATGTGCGGTGGCTGGAGCTGTCGGCCTTCATGCCCTCCATGCAGTTCTCCATCCCACCCTGGCTCTATGACAAGGAGGTGGTGGAGATTGCCCAGAAGTTCACAGAGCTGCACGAGTCGCTGGTGGCCCCGTTGCTGATGGAGCTGGCTGGGGAGGTCACCGACACGGGTGATCCCATCATCCGTCCCATCTGGTGGATCTCGCCCCGCGATGAGACCACGCACAGGATCGACTCCCAGTTCCTCATCGGGGACACCCTGATGGTGGCACCTGTCCTGGAGATGGGCAAGCAGGAGCGTGACGTCTACCTGCCAGCGGGCAAGTGGCGCAGCTACAAGGGGGAGTTGTTTGAGAAGACCCCGGTGCTGCTCACAGACTATCCCGTTGACCTGGACGAAGTGGCCTATTTCCTCTGGGTTTCCTAACAGGCTCCTCCATCAGCTGTGCAATGGTCTCAGGGATTAATGAACCAATGACTTTAATGACTTGGGAATTTTAATAGGTTTTAAAGTTTGTATACTTCTGTACGAAATTCAAAGAAAACTCTGTGACCTCTCTTTTTTGCGGCAAGTGCTGTAGAATAACTTCCTTATTAAAATATATTGGATGGCTGTCTTTGTTATTGCAGTATGAGAAATAAAATGTACAGAAACACAGCCTCTGCTCGTAATCGTTTCCCAGCAAGAAATGCCATGCATGCTTCTGGTTTATAAAGCAAATTACATGGACTCCTTTGTTACCTAGTTTCACAGCTGATCACTTGAGATATTTATAATTTCATATACTTAGTGAAGGTGGCAGTTGCAGCAGAGTACTTTTTTCACAAAAAGCAGTCTGTGATTATTCTGAAGTGGAAGGCGCCCAATTTTCAGCCTGCACATCAGATGTGTGCTGATGCAGGAGTAAGGGGAGTTTGCATAGCCCGAGCTATCTGAGCAAGCAGAGAGAAGCTATAGCACTTGGTGATGCTTAGCACTTGGTGATGCTGTGGCAATAGTTTGCCCCCTTTTATTTGAAGAAATTATTGAGAATCATGTGGTGTGAATTCAGCCAAGCCTGTAAGCATGTGATGAAATCTCATGGCAGTCAAGATTAAAACCTAGCATCAAGTCATGCATGATTTAGGACATAATAGGATCCATGTGTGTGTCGGTAACATATTTAGATTCAAACAATGCAATCCATCAGGTCCCAGGAGGGCACTCAGCCATTATACTCCTGAGAAAGTTCTGACAAGTAACAAACCAGCCCAAGTGCCCTCCTGCCTCAGTTTCCCCATGAAAAA